TTATATGATCCTGGACGGTCAAATCGTTATTCTTCCAAAGGGTCTCTACACGCCCCCCAAACACCTTGGTCCTCCTTCCTTCTGCCTCCTCCTCCTCCTCCTCCTCCTCCTCGTCCTCGTCCTCGTCCTCGTCCTCCTCGTCCTCCTCCTCCCTGCCTCCTCTCTCCTCCTTGACCTCTCTTCTCCTCTTTCCTCCATCCTCGCGGCACAAGTTTGCCAAGGAAGGGTACAGAATCGGTGGTTGCATGAAATAAACGACAAGAATCTCTGCATGCTCAGGCAGTAGGAGAGAGGAGCAGGAGGTGAGAACGGGGCAGGAAAGGAGAGAAGGACAAGGAGCCAGAACTTGTAGGTGTCGGCGATGTACAGGAAGGTGATGGTAGACGATAGAAAGTCAAGCAGGAGTGGCATGAAGAGAAAGAGCAGGAACGAGAGCAAGAGCAAGAGGGACAGCAAGAGGGACAGCAAGAGCAAGAGCAAGAGGGACAGCAAGAGGGACAGCAAGAGCAGGAGCAAGCAGGAGCAAGCAGGAGGAGGAGGAGGAGGAGGAGGAGGAGGCCTACTTTACTATCTCAGGAGGTAGATCACCCCTATCTCGCGCAGCTCCTTGTGGTCCGTCGGGAAGGATTCATAGGGCTGAGGTATGCGTATCAAGTTCTTGTACAAGCTCATGTTGGGAAAGAGCGGCGGGAAATTCTGCTTCTTCTTCATCTCCCCCTCGCCCCTCCCCTCCTCCATCATGGCCCCGTTCACGCTCCTCTCCTCCTCTATCATGCCCCCGTTCTCGCTCCTCTCCTCGTCCAGCATCTCCATTCTCTTCTCTTCCTGGTAAACTTGTTGTCCGATTCCCAGCTCCTCCTCCTCCTCGTGCCTGCAGAGGGATGGCTCTTCGTCCTCGAACAGGATGTAGTTGGAGTCCTGCTCCAGTCCCTCCTCCTCTCCTCTCGGCGGCTGCTTCTCAACGTACACCCTCCTCGTCTTCCACTTCCTCCTCTTCGACCCTCTTAGCTCCTGCTGGGCTTCAACCTCCTTCGTCTCCTCATCACTCACGACAGCTTCATCCGGCAAGGCCCTGGAGATCGCCGAGGACCCGCGGTCAGAGCATGACGATGCAGTTTGCACATCCTCGGTGGGTAGAAACCGAGAGAGAGCGCTGGCCCTTTCAAAGCTCGTCATGCCAGGTCGCCACATGAATGTTTCAGGACTGATGATATTGAATTCCATCTGCCCGATGATCCAGTCGCCATCGCAAGGGCCGTTCGCCTGGTACCTGCCTTCCTTCTTCTCAACAAAGAACCATTCGTCGCCCCTCAGGTGTGAGTTTTCTCGCTTCAACGACTCCAGCAACTCTCCAGGAGGCTCCGAATCATCGTCTCTCCCGCCATGGAGGAGAAGGCGACGGGGAGGGAGGAGGATCGCTTGACCGCGGCTTGCCCTGCCGCTCGTGCCGGTCAAAGAGATCCCATGCAAGGATTCTTCACTCTTGGAGGCAGTGAAAGACAGCAAGAAGCAGGCAAGAAGATAGGTAGTAGCAGGAGCAGCATGAGTAGCATGAGCAGAAGTTGGAGGTGTTCTCGTGCTCTCACTGCATCGCCCCCGCGCCGACCTCATCGCCTTGCCTCACTAGGTTACGGCGCCATGGGCGATGGGTCTTTAAACGGTATTTGTTTTCACCGGCTCGTGACCGGCATACAGTCCGGTCACGCCCGGCCGTCTGTGGCACCCGGTGATCGGACCGGTCCGCGCGGCCACCGGGCCCGACCGTACTACTGGGCCGTCCGGGCACGCCCGCCGGGCCGCCGGCGCCCGTCACTACTACGATGATCTGGGCTGTCATGCGGCGGCCGAGCCCCAGCAGCGGGCCAACATGACCTCAGTTCCGACGTGACAAAGAGAGAGCCAGGGAATGTTTCATTTTCGTTTTCATCTTCTCAACGTTAAACAGCAAAGGGAAGAAGCAGATATGACGCGTAGAATAACTTCCACAGATCCATGTAGTAGCTGATGGCAAACACATTAAGAACACCAAGAGAGGGTTTGCAATGAGCCAATACCTGTACGCCTTTTCGCTGAATGTTTTCTCTTCGTCCTGTTCACTTTCTTGGAGGAGAAGTCTGCTGCTTTTGTGAACCCAGACCGCCGCGATCTGGCACAGCCAAAGGTCAAGCAAGCTAAAGCTGAAGGCGGGAAGTATGAGTTACCCCTGAGAACAAAGCAACGACGAATCGCAAGGCCTTGAAGACCGGATCTAGCAGAGTTGGGTCAGCGCTTGGTGCTTTCTCGACCAGAACGATCACTTGTGAGAAGTACGCTATGGTAGAGACAGAAGAGAGAAGCCACAGTGAAGCTCGCGGACAGGATTCCAGTTCCGAGAGACAAAATCTGTAGAGACGAGAGGGAGGGAGGGAGGGTGACAGATGAGAAGAAAGAACCTTGAAAGAATGCAGTCGAAAACAAGTACCGTGCGAGATCCAAACCGAACAGAAAGGGTCTTGACTTGAAATTCTCTATCGCCACTGACCTGCCCATAACTTTGAATGGAGGAGTAGAGGAGGAATAGAGGAGGAAGGGAATGGAATGCGGAGGAGTGGAACAAGAGATGAGCAAGGCAAGGGGACGGGCATTACATCTGGCACGTCTTTCATCAGCGCGATGACGCTGGTAGGAGGACGGGTGAGTCAACGAGGCAAGCACGATCAACAAGTACCATCCGAACAGTGCGAAGAATGAAGAAGCGATCCAACTCCTTGCAGGAAGCATCTCCGTGCCCAGGATCTGCACAAAACGAACCACAATGAGCGGAGAAGTTGTTCGCTAGCGCCAAGCACTTACAGCTGCAGTGTGTGCATAGAAGGAAAGGTTGACCAGCGTCCCTCTCACAACGATGATGCATCTGCGACAACAGAGCTCTAAGATTGATTGTAATCCTGAACCAAGGCGTACATGGCAGCCAGTAAGGGGAAGCGTTTGAGGCGGAAGGGAGGCATGGAGTAAAGTGTACCCAGTACGCATGATCCTCCGGTGACTGGAATCATGTCAGTCTCAGATTTTCTCTCCTACGTCTCTGATATGACCAGCTAGGAGCGGGATCTTGTCAAACGGATAAAACAAGATGGTCGGGAGCTGGAAAATTGGCAAGTAAGGGGGATCGTGAGATTCGGATGCAACTTACAATCCCAAGAATCAGGGAAACAAGTACGATGACTTTTGCACTGTGAAAGATTTCAGATCTTAAATTTTTCATGATCACCTGCATATACTTCTGCAGGGACAATTCTCCCGCTGGGATGGGCAGGTACGGCTTGTTAATCTTGTCAATATCTACATCATAAATCTGGACCGAGATCAATCACTACAATACCAATGGAGCAAGAGGACCTGGTTCAGCCCCGTGACGAAGAGATTCACCAAGGAGGCGCACACAAGTGACCAGGTGAGTGCAACCATGAAAGCAGACAAGTTGATTATGCTGACACCTGAGGGGAACCATCAACATGACCTGACAATCTGCTGCGAAGCTTTCAAACCCGGTGCTGTCAGCGCGAACAGATGCAACGACACGACAGACAAGATCGAACCGATTATGGTGTGAGGTCTGGTGAAGTCCCACAGGACTCGGAGGAATGATTTCTTGCGTGCTGCGCTATTTGATTGAAGACCCGTTGAAACACTGTCACCCCCCGATTCGCCAAATCCAGCTATGCTGCCTGTGTTGGACGCTCCTGATGACATACGAGGAAGATGGTGTAAACCTCTTTGTCGAGAGATGGTACATTTGTTTGCTTTCAGGGCAAGATGAAGATTGCACAGTCCCTTAGAATGGCAAGGGAGGTGACCGGTGGCAAGTGTAAGTCTTGAAGGGATCACGAAGGCAGCAGCAGCTTGCAGAGCACATCCCAGCGAGATCGCTCTAAGAATGGCTCTGTTCATTGTGCTTGCTTGCTGTTCACTATGGGTGGTCGTTACCCTGTCTTCGGGGAATGAAAAATAATGGCGTGGATCAATGAAATCGGTATCCGGATGAGGACAAATACGATCAGAAAGCCAACTCACACTCAAAGCACTTCGAACATCAGTAGAACGAACTTGTACAGGTTTGTAGACTTCGACGATAGCAACTAGGAGAGAGACAGGGTAAAGTGTTTGATGTTAGGGCAAGGTGTCGGGGGAGCAGCAGTGAAAGACGAGTGGGAAACACTTGTGGAGAAAACGGAGTAGCAAGACTGAAGCAACCAAAGAGAGAATGGGTAACGGAGTAGAGGTAGGTCTTGTATCAGGATCAGAAGCAGAGAATGATGGGGGAAAGGGGGGATGAGGAGGGAGGAAGGAGAGAGGGAGGGCGGGAGGGAGGGAGCGGATTTCTCGGGGAGGCTAGTTCGTTCAATTCACTGGGGTACGGGCATGAAAAGGTGGGGTCCAGATCTCGAAGTATATTTCAAATTCTCAGAGTACCCCTCACACAAGAGGACTAATACGGGGTACATTTTAGAATTGATGGGGTGTTTGAAAGAAAGGAGGGGTACCTAATTATTACAAGGGGTAGTGGAATGTTAGGGTTGTCAGCATGTGGCTGGCGGGTAATTCAAGAAGGTAGGAGCATGGGGTGGTGATGATAGGAATTAGGGGGTAGGGGTGGGGTAGGGGTGATCCGTAAGACGGATTGTGGAAGGCGTACTTGGGGTACATAGGCGGATTTTCGAGGGGTGGGGGTTAAAATAGAGGGGTACAACATCAAATATGATTATTTGGGTAGAGGGGATCTCAGACCCATACTAGGGGTGGAGTAGGGGACCCACCCTATCCTACCTCCCATGGGCTTTGAACCAAACAATGATCCCACCATCATTCAATGATTCACGGTGAGTCACTGGCTCCGGGTTCACGGGGGCCGGGCCCGGGCCCGGGGCCGGTCCGCGGGGTGACGGGGCAACATTCTCGTCACAAGTTACCCCACTGGTAGTTTTCAGCCAGAAATCCTTGAATCTTGAATCTGGGTGGGTAGCCCAATTCGGCAAATTTTATTTGACCGCCCCTGTACCCTCACCCCCCTGTCAATTCTGCTGACTCTTCAGTGTATACCCCTGCTGATACACTATTGACCCAACCCCTCCGAAATACCCACCCCGGGACTAAAAGGACCCGTACAAACAAAACTATACATTCCCCGATCGATGACAAATGCCCTTTTCAACGCCCCCCTATCGGTGATCTACATCTTGATGCATCTGTGTTTCAACCATGGCTGTTTTCTCCTTTGTTCCAATTAGAAAATGATGTAGGTATGACCAATCTTAATGCAGGCAACTGCCCAGCCATCCACCCACCCGAACACTCCTCAAGTTCCGACCACACAGCCCACGGCAGACTTGACCACACAGCCCACCACACCCCTACCGTACAGCAACCACCCACCCCCTCAGTGAAGATTTGACTGACGCGTGCGCGTGCAGGTATTTAAGTAGTCGTCTGCGCCGTCGCCCCCTCACCTGAGCCGCTGTCATGATGACAAGCGGTGAGGCGCCTGGATGTACAAAGCCTGCGATGGCGAAGACACGACGCTGGTCTTGCAGCTCCGTGGCAGCTTTCATCGCTGTGCTCTTGCTCTCTGTAGGCGCTTACTTGGGTATCATCGTGAATACCAAAAGCAAGTATAGATCTGCTCTGGCGAGGACTTCTGCCCTTATACGCTTCAGATCAAAGCGATTTGTTTCGACGTACATATCCAGCAGAAGGTTTTTGCATGATGAGAGCAACAAAAGCTTATCAACGACGCCTAGGAAATCTTCATCCCTTCGCGATGATTCTGGATGTGATTGTGGATGTTGTGAATCAGGATATCTATATGGTTGCTCCACATGTTGCCCATGCGCTGCAGACCCAGGCCCATGCTCCACACGCCGAACTTACCATTGCGGCTGTTGCGACGATGGTTGGCTGTACGGATGCTCAGGAGTCTGTGGTGGCGCAGGCAATGGGGTTTGCAGCGAACGAGCATCGAGTGAGTGTGGATGCTGTAGCCAGGGAATTGTCTACGGTTGTGTTGGAACATGCGGAGATGCTCCAGGGACCGGTCCTTGCAGTCTCAGATCTACAGGCTCCTGTGGATGCTGTGATTCAGGATTCTTCTGGGGTTGCAGGGGTAGTTGTGGCGGGACAACGTTCTCCTCTGTGACATTCGAATTCATGACGGAGAAGGCAACCTCTACTCTCACTGATCTCGCCCTAGAATATACTCTGCAACCAAAGCTTCTTGCTCAGGTCGACATCATCAAGACTTCTTTCTCGATGACTGCTGACATGATTACGAATGAAGATTTTACTGAGGAACTGTTGTTTGACGTATTCAGGACGGCCACGGGATTCGTTCCACCTCCCTATGGGACGGTGATTCAGGTTGCATGGGGTGCCTATGACTTTGTTACTACATATCAAAAGACTGGAAGTGTGTGGGAAGCTAGTTTGGAAGTGGTTTCCAACAATCTAGATCTCGATCAATTCGTAGACGTTGGAAAAGCCCTATCAGGACAGGCCAAGGCGTCAAAGATAATTAAGAATGCGGTGAGGGCGGCCAACCGTCGCTTCCGGAAGAACAGGATTGTGAATGGAAAGCTGCGAACAACAACAGAACCCCTTCTTGTCAAGATATCTTTCTTTATGAATGTGACAAATGAAACGCATCTGCAGTCAATCCTGGATGACATCGGTCAAGAAAAAATGTTCTCAAAGACAGAGATGGACCCTGTGAAGTTTGGATTTTGGGATGACACCGCCACGTTGGCAGTCGGATGCATGTTTCACGACTGTGTTCCACAGGTCATCGTTCAGCCATCTTCGGATGTCTTTCTCAACGTGAGCTTTAGTTATGCAGCTGCCTCTGATACTCTTGACTCAACCACACGTGACATGATCCGAGCCGTGGTTGCAAATGTTGCCGGACCTCCGGCTTTACAAAGCGACGTGATCATCAACAGCGAAACCAGTGAATCGGATTCGTCTACTTTCATCGAACTTGCCATTATGGTCAAAAGCAGGGTATACACATCGATGGCAATGGAACGGCTGACAGACATCAACCTCAACGAGGAGGGAGTCAAGGCACAGCTGGGGGTAGACATGTTCTCATCGGTGAACTCCAGCTCTTACTCCTCAAACTACACTATCACTCCTCTCGGCCTTCAGCCAGACCAAACCTCGGTACCAACAGAAGAGACTCCCGTAACAACGCAAGTAACATCTGCATCAACTCCATCGGAAACTGCGATTATGATGACCCCTGAGCCTTCGACCTCACAGTCATGGGAATGCACGGATGGATACAAGCGAATCTTGCTAAGCAACACTATCCTCGGCTCAGATGGAACGAGCAACAACTTCTCTGCGTGCCTTCCTGACGCATTATGGCCGCACAAATCAGAGTTTACAAGCTGTACGGCCAAGTACAACTGGGAACAGTTGGCACAGATACCTCAGGACAAAAAAGATGATTTCTTTATCACGGGAGGACTTGGCAAGTTGATGGTCCCAAATGTCATGGAAGTTTGGGTATGCGAGAAGAATCATGTTTGTGCAACAGAGAATGGTGACAACTTCTTCTGTTTCACCTATGACGAGGATCGAGACCTGTTTTACCCATGGGGATTGTTGTCAGTCTTGAAGCTAAGGCACAAATCCATCTTTGAAGTGCGAAGTCTGCATTGATGAATGGCTCCTGAGAGAATCTTGCGACGCTCACTAGCTATTCGCCTTTCAATAGGCAATGAATGAAGAAGATACTTCAAAGTTTTGAAGACTTAAAAAGCTATCATCCTCTTTCTCGATGTCATCCCAATGCTTGTGCGCACTTGCAGTGTCCCCTTGTTTCTTATGTGTATCATTCGAACAGGGTTTCGCGTCGAGGAGCTGATGTTGCGGGCTAACTGACAACGTTGTTAGTTCTCCAGGCTGACTACGTCAGCTAAATGCCGACAGGCTAATAGTGAGCAGAGGATCAGATATAGACGAAAAGCGAGCCAGATGAAGACCTGAGGTTATTGTGATAAGGGATTTCAAGATGGATGCCTGGAACCATGAGCGACGTAGTCAAGCCTGGAGAACTAACAACATTGTCAGTTAGCCCGCAACATCAGCTCCTTGAACTCCTTCTTGTCCTGTCACTACCATCAGCACGACAGCGCCTCTCCTCTACCCATCCCACCAATCTTCCGTTCTGGTTGGTGTCCGCTTGGATGAACAGATCAGTCAGGTACTGAACCTGAAGCCCTCCCTGCGTCACTGGAACAGGTTGAGAGGAGCGGAGCAGACTACCAGGTACTCGTTGTTTATGCTCTCGATTGGACCGAGGATGACCGCAAGTCAATGTGGCTGTATGCCTCCCTTCCAACATAGACCTGGCACATCTCCCTCTTTCCCCTTGCACCTAGCTGGCCATCTCCCTCCCTCTCCTTGTGTTTCTTTCTGCAAATTTCAGATTCCGATCTCTCGATTCCATTCTCCTACTGTCTCCCCTCTACTCCTCCTCGCTCCCTCCCAAAACTCGAAATTTTACTTGAAATGCAGCTGCCGTTGGATCCACCGATGACCAATTGACACAATCGCCATCATGGAAGGTCCCGAACCAGGTCACGAGGACCCAACACTCTTGAGTAAGTTGGAACAAGCTCGATCCGGGAAGGAAGCAGCCTTATTGAGTCGCGGCCCAAGTCGGAACATGACTCATAGAAACAGGTGAGTGCACTGGTGCTCACTGCATCCTTCGCCTTACTGGGGCTTGCACTCAAGGGAGCATTGAAATATGAGAGGCAAAGATCCTGATTCAGTCTCGAGAATAGCCTTCATTACCACTACCTTTTTGCTCCATCCTCTCTCTGTCTGTGTGTCTGTGTCAATTTGCTGGTAGTTCGACATCCTGAGATGAATGCTTCGAATGAATAATAAATGTCAAATCAGATATCACCTCCAACCTTGATTCTACATTCATGGCAGTCTGGTTGCAACGCACAACAGATTCTTGCATGCCAGCTTACAAGCTCGAGACTTGATCCCTGATGCGATCTGAGGCGTACTTCGACGTCAACAGTTCCGCCATCAGGGAAGCAAAGCAAAGTTGATGTATTTCAGGAAATATGCAAACATGCAAATGACCTGAGTGAGGAGAGTTTGGAGAGAGGAGGGAACATACTTCAACAAGAGCTTCGTGAGAGTCAACTAATTGGCATATTTCAAAAATTCAAATATCATCAAAGTTGTTCTGAAAATGTAAAGCAACGATGTAACAAAGCGTATAGAAGATATGCCGAGGAGGGAGTCAAGTGAGATGCAGTGATTGCGCCTTAATCAAGCGGACTCGTCATGATCTTACAGATATTATTATTCAGTTCACTTTTCAAAAGAGAAAATTGATGATACGATTGACTTAGTCTCCACTTCTGCAGGATCACCAAGTAAGAATTTGTGCTGGATTCTTGATGCCAAGTGTACCTTGTGATCATCTTCTTACTCTGCGGTCCTTCACATGAACGAATAAACAATCCATTGCCGTTTTAAAACAAATGGACACGCCCCGCCGGTTCAAAATTCGATGCACCCCTACCACCGTCGCGTTGAGGTGACTCAGTGACGAAAGATCCTGGACTCACACGCGGCGATCGGATGCGTTTGCCATGTCGTACGGTCGGATCACCTGAGAGACGCTGAGCGTCTTGCGAAGCCGACTCGGACACGGAGTCCGGCCGCTGACAGCTAGGGGAGCTTAAAAATCTGACTTTTCAATTTTTAACTAACCGCGATGAAAGAATCGCAGTTCTTATTTTGATCGCGTTGTATACACTGGCAACCTTGCGTAAGCCGTTGAACTCAGATTATCTCAGGATCACTGTTTATTAAGCACACTCACTCATCAGATCAGCAGCATCACTGGAGCTGTTTGGCATCGTCATCCCGAGTCCTGTTTCCCCACGCTACGTCCAAGGGGCGTCCGGTATGAGTCCAGAAACAACATCGCTCCCACCTGGCACTGCGTGCCAACAAGAAGGTCCCCCTGTCGTGGACTTCGCTCAGAAGAATCTTGAGTAAAGGTTCTGCAGAAGAAGAGGAAGAAGAGAGGCGGGAAGGTGACGCTTGAGCTAATAAAGAAGATTCAAATTGAATGATCAGCCGGGTTAGGATAGCCTTTCCAATGAACAAGATACTGGATACCACGACCACGTTGACGTTTGTCGAGAATCTGTTCCACAGGCTTCGTATTCAATGAGATGAACAGTGTTGTGAGAAACAAAGGAGAGGATCTTGAAGGGACCGATGAAACAGTTACTATACCGTGCCTGAACCGTTTTGTCACCGACCAAGCTGCCCGTCACCGATCGGATCTTTCAGGAATGGTATGCCAGATTTCAGTGATAAGCAGCGCGCTTGCGACCCCGTCTAATTTCTTCTGAGTGACTTTCCATTTCAAGAATTGAATCGAAGTCCGTTGTTCCACCATAATAATCAGCACCATCGAGATTCAAAATCCCAGGATTGCAAACTTTGGCAAGATCAAAACTGTGAGAATTTGAGCCAGAATCGTACAAGAGTTCCTTCTCTGCCTTGAGATTCCATATCTCTTGCTGGTATTCCAAACACTTCCTCATGTACTCCTTCTCCAAATAGATCCAATAACTCGTTTTCTGTCTTTTTGTTCGGAAATCATCCATAGAGGCTGAGTGAATCAAGTCACCATGAAAAGTCTTCAATTGACAATTGAAAACTGTACTTACCGTAGATCTCTAATTTGCTATCCGATTGCAAATGAGTATCTGAAAAAAACAAGGAACATTCGTCAATCTTTTGGAAGGCCTCTTCTTTGATTTTGCTTAATTCGTGCCGGCAGCTTTGGAAGGTACTCAAAGCCTGTGACAGTGGTAGATCGAAATCATTGAGATTCATTGAATCCGCTCTCTCGAAAAATTCCAGTAGTTCACTTTTCGCTTCGTCGTTACCAAGATTGGATTGCTGCATTCTTGATGCCATTTCATTGAAGCATTTGAACAATTTCTCTGAGTCCGCGAGAACATATTGCTTCAATTCAAGAGCTTGTGAGCGCAGGTTAGAAAAATTCTTCTTGAGTATTTTTGCCTTGGCGAAACAACAACGAATTTTGAATTCTACCTTCCCTTGTTGATGGATGAATTGTTCACAGCTCTTTGAAAACCAACCACAATACTGTATCAGTGCTGTAAAACAAAAAACGTTCAATCCTGCATGGCTGAAAGATGGAAATCTATCGTACTTTGCCCTGTCTCAAATAGGATGGATTCTCCTTTCCTGTGCACGGTATTGCGAATCGCATCCATTTGTTCCCGACATTCTTGAGACAGTGGGATCTAAGACTCATGGAAAAACAATCGAAGATGTCACCTTGAATTTGAAAACGAATCACAGGGAGCATCTTCTTCGCTGCATCGGATCATTTACGTCATTACACTCCGCATCAAAAGACAACATACAACATCACCTTTCAGGTCAAAGAGTACCTTCCTCTCATGTTTCTCTGACAAACTCTTGAATACCTCAAAATTTTTCGTGATATTTTCTGTAAGAAGCTCGATCCTCTGTGTATATTTTTCCATCACGTCATTGCGGACGATTCGCTCCCCTCGCATGCGCTCCGATAAGTCCACAAACTTCTCCATGGCGCCAAAAAAAATGTTCAGCTAGTCGGCCGGGTGCTGCCTGAGCGGGGGTCCAGGTCTACAAAATTCTGAACTTCTGAACTTCTGAACTTCTGAACTTCTGAACTTCTGAACTTCTGAACTTCTGAACTTTGATTCCGAATATCCTCTAGCAGTGCCCCTGGGAGGTCCCAAACCAAAAAGAATATGGGGTGAGGGTGGGTTTTTTGTCTCAAAGAGGGGTACGATAATATGGCATAATTCTGTCAAAGGTAAGGGTGGGTGAAAAAAATGTCGACTAGGAGGTGGGGTGGTGGAATTCTGGGGTAGGGGTGATTAAAACTCACCCCAGAAATAGAACAAGCGAGGGATGGAGGGACTGAGGGCAGAGCGCGATGGGAAGGGAGAGGAGAGAGAGAGGATGGAGAGATGGCGAGAAATGAAGCAAAAAATGAGAGAGAGAAAAAGTTGAATGTAATGCCAGAGGGTGATCCAGTGTAAGATGGAAGAGGGTAGATTGTGTAGTCAGGGATAGGTTCGAATTGAGATGGATCTGAGCTGTAGAAGCAAGAATGAGATCGAGGTTCAAAGTGGAGGTTATTTCAATGTTTGAGGATCTTGGAGAAAGCTGAACCAATTGTGTTTCCCTGACAAGGACGCTTGCATCTTGCTCGCATCGTGCCAAGTCTGTATTGTACCTAGAGAGTTGATGGATTCTTCCAGAGTTGGAATGGGAGAGTTTTGTGAGGGAAGTTTGCCTTGCAACATTTATGGATACTTTCTCACGATGTCTCACGATGTAATGTGGTGTTGTTACATTGTAACGATATGAAGCGTATACCTTCATCGTACTTGTGGTGACTAGCGGAAATTGCCAACAACCTGTATTGGTCGTAAATGATTCACTCCTTAGAATACTGGAAGAGAGTTAGAGATGTTGAACTTTCTTCATGTTTGAGAAGCATCACTCATGATGGAGGATTGTCAATCACGTTGTCCGTGTCTGACACGTTGTGCAGTGCACTCGGGGGTCAGAATGCACAGTTACATCGAGCCAGTTTCGCTCTCTGTCCCAATTTACAATGGGGAGGAAGCCAAAGTTGCCGGATCAAGAAGACCCACCAGGTTGCTCGTCGTCGCGGCTTCTCTTGCGGCGTTCGTTGCTCTTGTCTTGGCTCTCGCCAGCTTCACTCCAAACCAAAAGTCCTCTCTCGAGTCCCTGCCCAAGGTCGTGCCAAAGTTTGTCGACTGGAAGAAGGAGGACGCGGGTTCAGACGACATGAACCTCCACTTGCAGGTAGCGAGCACGAGCTGCTGACCTCTGATGTAGCCCTTCTGACATCCCTGAAGGTGGCGGACGCGCTTGCTAAGGCGGATGGGCTCGCGGAGAAGGGATTGCAGCCCGTGCCTGAGAATCTTCTCAAGGAAGCGCAACAAGCAGCGGAGGAGCAGAGGAGCATGCCGAGCTTGGGAGTGAAGAAGGTGAGAACTGTTCTGTGCTGACTGAGTCTCCTCTGAAGTTCATGTCAGGTGAGGAAGGACGCTCTTCCTGCAAACCTAGAAAAAATGTTCGAACAAGCCGAGGCGGAGCAGAAGGTCGAGAAGATCACAAAGGAGGGTGACAAGGCGGAGGAGAAGCAGGAAGCTGCTGTTGAGGAGAAGAAGAGGGAGTTGAAGGTCGGGCTTGTGTCTTGTCGAGGATGAGCACTGAGTGTGATGACCTCGCAGAGACAAGCGGCCAAGAAGCAGGCAGCATCCAAGAAGTCCAAGGCTGAGGCGGAGAAGAAGGCTTCTCTCAAGCTCTTGAAGCAGGTGCCATACTGCTGCTTTTGCTTGTCCCCTTCCCCTGCTCTATTTGCTTCTTCGCGACATGCCTTCCCTTGATGTATCTTGCGATTGCTTCCTGATCTCGTGCAGGTGGCGAATGATGCAAAGGTTGTCAAGAAGGGCCCGGCATCGAAATAAGCGACAAGATTTGCGACAAGGACTTTAGCGGTTTTTTGACTCCCTCGGGCAAGAGACAATTCTTTTGCATTTTTAGATTTTCCTTTGGTTAAGCTGGCTTGATGATCTTCTCTTACAATCTGTATCTCATAGATTCTTTTCTCGAATAAAGGTGCACGAGAGACAACAACACACATGTCTTGCTGGTTATGTACATTATAACATGTTATGCCATCTACCTTCCACAAATGAGTGTGTTTGGAAATTGGACCTAGTTTGCGTTCATCATTGACAGTAAAGAACTTTCTCTGCTTGTCTCCCTCACTGCTGAACATGTCATTGCATTCTCCAACACACATCGCATCTCACCTTGACAACAAATGCCATCTTCTTCACCCTTGTTGGTGTTGACCCACCCGACTGACCCACCTGCCCCAACGATGAGCATGACCCCCTCTCCTTCATGTCGCTCACCACGTTGCTGCCTCTGCTTGCGCGCGTATCCTCTCCCCCTCGAGAAGGCAATCGATCCTTTTCCCCTTCCTCTTCCTCGTCGTCTTCCTCCTCCTCCTCTGTGTCGTCGGGATCTCCTCCAAAGAATTCCTGGAAGGAGTCAAGGGTCTTGTCTTCAGTCATGGGTGGCTTGGGAGCTGCTGCGGGATGTGGCTCGTTGGGCGGAGTCACCTCAACATTCAGACTCTTTGCGGGCTCTTGGACTCCCCGCTCCTTGTCGACGTGAAGTTCTTGCTGACCCTGCCTTACGCTCTTCTCGCTCTTTCCTCCATTCGACGTGTCCTTGTATGCCACCCCCTGTATCGTCTTCTTCTTCCTCGTCATCTCAATCGGTGTCTCTAACCTCCTCCTTTCCTGCGCCTGCGAGCTCCCAGCCGTGAGCTTCCTCCTGCTCGCTTCAGCTGCTGGCCGCTCGCACCCATACGCGGCCTCGAACTCGCTCAGCATCTCGTTGTTCTTGATGTCTCTCCGGTCAGAACTCTTGGGTGCAGTCGACTGCATGGAATGAAAGGGCAGGAATGCGCTGTTGTTGAACTCTTCCTTGCTCCCAGTGCGCTGCGCATGCAGCTCGCGCAGGTTCTGAATCTTGTTGTCAACCTCCGACATGCTCTTGGAGATCGTCTCCAGCACCGACCGGAAGGCCTGCCCCTGCATCCCGAAGATAACCTCAAGATAGTCTGTTGCCAAGTTCAGCTGCACTTGCCGCTCCACCTCAGTGCGCGGCCTCCCGCAAGCCTTGAGTGTCAGGGCAAGTCAGACCAGCAGGCAAGCAAGCGGGCCCGTTACCTTGAGCGCATCAGTCAGCAGCCTCTTGCTACAATCGATCATGGAGAAGGTGTTGGCAAAGTTGGGATGGGAAGGGACGAATGAACTCCATCCAGAGGTGCTCGCGTTGGACTCCTCGATCTCCCTGCAGAGCATCGGGGCATTGAGCTCCAGCCGACCACCAAAGATTCTCAAGGCAGACCTGTAAGACCCTGAGTCTGCCTCCTCTACAGCCCGCGGCTCCTGGTGTGAAACGGGCGAAGCACCCTCTTCGCCGGTGGTCTCCTTCTCACGATAATCCCGCCAGTAGATCCTCTGGTCCAACGACCTGACCAGGGAGATGATGGAGAGATGAGACAGCAGAGGTGGGTTACCGTTTGTTCTTCACCATCTTGTAGAGGATGCTTGACTCCGGAGACATGTGATTCAAAGTTCTGCAAAGAGCAATCAGGGAGGGAGCACGCTGCACAAGCCAACCAACCCTCTCGAGATCTTGCTGAGTCCATTGGCTGAGTATTGAAGGAGCGCATCGGCATCTTTCGACGCCTTTTCCGTCGTCTTCTTCTCCATGTTGTGGTACAGATCGACATCATGGTCCGTCGGCAAAATCTCTTCCAGCAATCCTCTCCTCGCAGTTTGTCTAAAGTTGACGCAATACGATGAAACGCAATTTTCTGGCTTGTCGCGCAGCAACAAGCATTCGTGATATTTTCTCTCAATACTCCTGCTCCTCGAAACCAACGACCTCCTAGTCTTGGCAGGCCTGCCAGATGTGAGATCACGGTCTTCTTGCGGCGAACCGAAGGATTCCTCAAACGATTCCGTGAGAGACTTTTCAGTTTTGGCAGGTGAGAAGTCCGAAAGATTCCTGTCTACACGTCTCTTCCTTGCTGACCGACTGGTACCCACTCCAGCATTCTCGTCATTGGCTTGCCCTTCATGCTCCTGGACCAAGCTGTCACGAGAGGACTTGCATAGCGATTTTGCGGATAACAATCCCTGAGACAAACTTACTTTGTCCTTAGGCAGATAAATCACGCTCCCACTCTTTATCCTTGAATGTTTTGACAGAGTCGGATGAAAATTCTCGTTGTAGGCAGCGAGAGCTTCCCAAGCAATCCCATACTTCCTCCCTGGTTTACAGATCGTGAGCTCTCGACCACAGTTGAGATCACACAGTCTACCAATTGAGAAGAGAGATTCGTTCTCATGTTTGACGAAATATCGACCATTCTTCGGCCAAATCTGCAGGGAAAGCCAGAAATTAAAACTTCAGTAGAAGATGCATCTTTCACGTCCAGTCGCACAGGTCATCATTACCGTTCTCTTGGGGTTTTCAAAGTCGGTGCTCGCGTCGCATACTTTGTCGCTGATTTCCACCCATTCTTCATCACCGGCCTTTGCCACTTGATTGTCTTCAATGAAGCAATCTTTCAAGTACTTGAGCAGGCATTCGACCCGCTTGGACTCCTCGTCCCTCTTCACCTCCTGCACTTTGGCATGACACCTGAGCGTGATCCGTCAGCAGGAACAAAAGATATCCGCTCGTTACTGACCATGCGCTCTTCTCATCCTCGTTTTGCTTTCGCAGCTCAAGAATATCGTCTACCTCTGGTACAAATCGCTTCCAGGAATAAATCCTTCCATTGGCCATGTTGCTCCGATCGTTCAATGGAACCGCCGCCATCGAATTTCCAGCATCTGCGTGGCCGCTGCTCCTATCCTCTGTATGAGCATCATCCAGCTGCTGGTTTGCATCGACCATCTTCACGTGAAAGTCAGGATCATGCACATCAAGGAGTGGAGATACCTTCAGATCATGTGAAAGATCAACGAGGACGTGTCCCACTCTTTATCTCACCATCTGCCCTTTCGATAGGATGTCAACTCTGGGTACAAAGAATGTGCCGTGACTCTTGTGATTCTTCGAGATCAAGACATGTGTCTTTCCCAGGATTTCTTTGTTTGCTGACGGCGATCATGCTTGTACTCTCACCGTCAACCCTCCTTGTCTTTGCTTTCTTTCAATGCTCATTACGATCTTCGCTCTTGTTTCATCTTTGCTCCTATCCATTGTAAGATCCCTCGTTATCCTCCTCTTCGCTCTTCTCCTCTTCCCTCTTGTCTCCATTTCACTTCCGACCTTTCCTCATTCTTCCCTTCGTTCCCTCCCCTTCTCCTCTCCCCTCATCCTCATGCTCCCCTCCTTCTCAGCTACTCTTCTTCTTCTTCATACGCTTCCATCCTCTCCTCTTCCTCCTCTCGATTCCTCCCCATCCTCTTCACTTCCCTTCCTTTCCCTCCCTGACAACCATCCCTGCATTTCTTCCCTTCTTTCCCATATGATCGCACTAAACGGTACCCCTACCCACTCAGCTAAGATTTCCTAGTACCCCTATTTGGTCTGTGATATCCTCTATTTAGTACCCCTTTGATTATG